CAAATCTTTAAATTAAATAATTCAAATGATGCTGACTATATGAGATGCATGTGGACTGTTCGGGCTGTATGTGGAACACAATTTAATTTCACACAATTAAAGTAGTTAAAGATTTCGAAATATCTTATTTTGTAAAAGTGTTGTCTTTCAATATGTTTATAGACTGATATTTTTGTTATTCTCATTTCTTTATTATTAATCAAGAAATATATATATAGGTATCAATATTAATGTAAGATAATTTTTGTTTTGACAGCATGCATCAAGTTGTCTACTTACATTCTCAAAGATTTTGTAGGATGCCTGGGATTATTTCAATTAAAACATCTGCAATTTAGATTGCCCCAATCCCTGGTCAAGAAATCATCAATAATCATGTATCAAATAGTTATTCTAACTCTTAAAATCAATTGCAGATTATAAACAAAAATATGTTTTTTCTGATAGATTTCAAGTGTTTATGTTTGGATAAATCTTGATTAATAGTCATTTTAGTGAATTTCTTCTCCTCACCTGTTAAACTAACTTCCAATCAGCGCCATCAATCAAACACTAACGCAGCTTTTAGCCATGTTAACAAGTGCAAACATCGCTCCCCTATCTCTTTAGGAACAAATTTCACCCATTCACCCCTCAAACTCACTCTTAATTCAATTACCTGGGAGGGGTGTTACGCTTTGTTTATATTTCCCCCTCAGTCTTTCACCTCGCATCTTCTTTTTAGCAGCATCTTTACTTTCTACATCTTTTGTGTCGACTGAAGTAAGGGAGAGGCCCACTAAAAAATGTTGCCTTACTCCGAACTCACCCATTTATAATGTAATCAATCTCTCATTGTAACAGTTACTTTTGTCAGCAATTTTTAATTGTTATAAAATAAATGAATTGTCCTCAGATAAAAATATACATTCAAAGCAGAAATAATTCTTAACTGACGTGGTTAATCAAAGGTCCAGTTTTATGTAAATCAGATAAATCCCTAAGTCTAGGATATACAATGATGAGTCAAGAGTGAATACTTTCTTGTAGAATTTAATTCAATAACTCGAAGATCAAAGACACGAAAAGCGAGAATCTTGATCTTATATTAAAAGGCAGAAACGAAATAGCCTTGTCGTGCCCAAGTCTCTGTGTTAATGTTATGATTCAGACAGCTCAGTTATTGTAGAAAGATTAACAAAAGATAAAGAATGGTTTTTATCTAGGCTCATTTGGAATTAACGATGTCTGCGTTAAAATTGACATCAATCATAAAAAACGAGCCGCTAAAAACTTCAACCCAGTAAAAAAGGATTTAAAATTTTCCAGTTGGATTGACGGCTCTACAGTAAAAGCTGTGATGTGCATTAACAATGTTTAAAAAAAATTCCTTTATCAATTACAATCCGACAGGTAGATAGTTATCAGAGTTTTAAACTGCAGATTTAGAAGACTTAGACAAAGAGGAAGGGAACACGTTTTCTATAGGTAAACATATATACATGTATTTGATTATACGTAAAGTTAAAAATGCAAGAAACATGCATGTGTGTTTGATACATGTATTACAAATATATTAGTCGATATGATGGAATGATAGACGAGTACACGAATATTCGTTGACATCCCTAATTTATATAAATGCACATATATTTGTATGCAAAAAGTGGACAGTCCTTACCCTTTCGACCGTTTACTGAATCGGCATATGGGTACAATATGTTAAATTACGTTAATTAACAAAGAAACCCTATCAGTATGTATGCGTAAAAGTATACAAAATCCCCCACAAAGTATAACCCTTACAAATTCGTAATATCTTATCGATTTCATGAGTAATTTATTATTGACAAGGCGATAACAAAATTTAAAATTATTATCGGGAATCTATTTTTCAAATGAAATTAAATTTACTTGGGTCCTTTTTCTCATGGAGAAAGAGAATGACACGAAAACTAGGCGAATGCCCTCGTTACCAAGTGACGCCTAAGTACTTCGCACGTGAGATCTGACAAACTTTCAAATAACGGAAAGGTCGGGGAGATAGGTAAAGGGCTCCAGTGTCCTGGTTATGGATTATTTGAACTGTGTGTCATATATACACTTAAGGAATCACTGTCTAGTTTTGAGAGTATGCCAGGGCATCAACAATAGTGGGAAACATGGGATAATTTGCATAACGGGCGAAGCCCGTTATGCTAAAATTATCCCATGTTTCCCACTATTGTTGATGTCCCTGGCATACTCTCAAAACTAGACAGTGATTCCTTATATTTCCATTTCATTGTAAAATAAAATTTTAGACTTATACCCCATTCATACGACGAAAATTTGCTTATGTGTGCAAATTTACATATGAGTAAATATACACACGTAAGTAAAAGTTAATTTGCGATGCGTTCAGAAGAGATTTATGTTCTGTAAGTAAATCTTTATATTTTCATATAAAATAAGGAGATCCACAGATTCAGAATTGTTGATTTGTATAGAAAAAATGTTATCTTTTACTATTTGGGTATAAAATTAACTTTTGAATGTTCCCCAGAGAAATAAAGGGGGGATCCAATCTATTTATTTTTTGATGCGGAAGAAAAACAAACTTAATAACTTCTAGAAAAAATGTACACATGAAAAAGGAAAATTAATTAAAATCATTGTTTAAATTTTGAAAACGCCTCGGTCCTAAAGTCTATAGAAGAGCCATTGGGTGTTAAGAAAAAGATGGTTGTTGCCATCTACTGAATGGCGTCTTCAGCAGAAAAAAGTACGACTGGAAATCTTTTTTTGTGTTTGGAAATCTACAGTACCTCAAGTTTGCGAGGTCATTATGCAATATCTGCTTGAATATTATATGTATTTTCCAGGAGAATGACATGGGCAATCAATTTTTAAAAAAATTTAAACGAAACAAATTATATGAATAGGAAATACTGTTAACGTATTACATTTGGCTGTGTATTCTTTTTAGCGGCTTTGGCGTAACTCAACAACCGCTAAATCAAGTACACCGCTTTATGTCTTGCACATATACACAAAAATAAGAAGAAAAGCGCTTAATCAAATCAACACTAACTTATTCAAAATTGAATTACCGTCAAATATCGTACACGCTATTGAAATACAATACATTTACAGTAAACACGACTCCCCTAGAAATTCATGGTGGGACATGTGGCCAAGGATCGAGAATGCTCAAAAATGCTTATTTTCAACAGGGTTGTTGAAATTCCTGAAGCATCAATTTATATTTCAGTAGTTTGCCTTGGTTTAAAAACAAAGAAAGGTAGAAGAAAGTCAAACTGTAATGGGGCCCGGGCGATTGACGTAATGCCTATTCCTATCACAGCCCCGGAGCATTCCCATGAAGACTACTTGAATTGTAAGGGGACTACTTATTAATCCTGCAGCTAGGGCACATGTTTGCCGGACCACAGTTATATCTTTTTTAATTTAGAGGTAAAAACATAGGTTTGCCAAATTTAAATTTATATCAGAGGACACTGGAGATGCAGTGTGGATTCTTGTTTTCAGAGTAAGTTGAAAAAGCCATTTGTGGAAAGAACTATGCTAAAACAACCCGGCGTACCTTTAAAACAGTACCCTTATCAAAACTCAAATTACTTTCAGCTGTTGTTGAAGTACGGCATAGATGACAATAAAAAATCCAGTTTTTTATGTTTTGCTGTCTAGCCGCCATGCTAACAGACTGATATTATACACAAAACAATGCATTAACAACCGAAACAACACTTAAAATGGAGATTTATGCAATAAACAAAACAAAATACATACATTAGTATATTTGCTGCGAGTTCATATGACAAAATTTACACACATGAACTATAAATTTGCGACAACATGTATGCAAAAGTTAATTTGCACCTAGTCCTGACCAGGTGTAAATTTACTCAACTGTGCAGAATTTACATGTGAGCAAATCAGTTCATACGACAAAAATTGCACATGTGAGTAAATTTACATATGAGTAAAATATACTGATGTATGCAAATCATGTCGTATGAATGGGGTATTAGACATTAAAAATGTAGACTAATAGATTTAAATTACACGAGGACTTCTATGCCAATTTCAATAGTTCGATCTCGCACACTGGCGTCAAACACAAAGGTAGCTGCACGAGATTTTCATGCATATTTGGTCTTCTTAGCGTCAGACACAGAGGCAGATGCGCACGAGATTTGCATGCATATTAGGCCTCCTTAGCTGATGACCTATCGACCTGCCTAATTTACATTCCGGCAGAATTATAAAGAAATAAATTCCCCCAACTTTCAAACAGTTATCACAGAGGAAAAAATTAGAAATGGAAATATTTAGAGAAAATTGCAGTCTGGGTCACTTCACCTCGCTTCATCTGATTCCATTGACAGGGGACCGGTATTTATGATAGAATTCTCATCTCTGATTATCATGAGGCTTTCAAGGTTTATTTATATTAGATAGAATAATCATGAAATGGTGAGATGAGAAACTTTACCAATATTTTGATATTGTGAGGAAAAATGGTGCGAGTTTTTCTTACTTTGAGAATATTGTAAAATTTACTATACATGCATGTGTTTCAAAACTGAAATATTTACATGTATATAAGGCCATTGCTTGATCGCCTTACTTGAATATGAAAAGTATAACTTCCGGAGGTATATCAAATTTAGCTCAAATTATTCACTTGGTAAAGAGGACAATTGACCCATTCACCTCCCAATTCCCAATACAAATAGGCATATACATGTACAGTGATGTTTCAGGAGGGAAATGTTCTGAAATTTAGGGTGGGGTATATTTGAGGACTAGAAGTACGATGCAGAATTCTAATGTATAAAATTCTGCAAATATAACAATTAAACGATGTAAACAAGGAATAAATTAAACAAGAAATTCAATCTTATGTCTGGATTTGACTAGAAATTATGTCATATGTAGGCTGGACAAAAATGAGTGCATTAGCATTTTAACCAAAAGGGTTTATACGTTTTGAATACCTCAAGATAAATGCGTTGCAGTCGACCTGTGTGTCATACTGTTGAATGACATAATCGGAAATCTTTTAAAACATCACCACAATGTGCAAAAAGGTTTATTAACCGTAGATACAATGGATCTGAAATCGTGAGAAGAAAATGACCGTAGGACCTACTCATCCAAATTTGAATTGACCCACTGAAACACAAATTTGCTCAGGTGAGGGGGAAAACAAAAGATGTATGTAAAGTAAATTAGGGATGACCGGAGAATTTACTCAACTTCATGGCTAGGTCTGACCCAGTGATACATATAATATACGCAAAATAAACATGATAGGTAAAGGAAAAAATATATAAAAGACGGCTGAGAGGAATATATATAGAAAGTTTTTAAGGTTATTGACAGTTACTGTGTCTATTTGACGTTAATGTTTACACTGAGAGGAAAACGACTCAAAATTCGACCCTGCTTTACCTGCGCGGCTTTCTGTATTAAAGCACCTGTGTACACCTTTATAAGCCCAGTCAGTCTGATAGCACAGGCAGGAAGAACTCTGGTGTGTGGAATAAGCCCACTATTCTAAAAATATTGATTCAAGGTATCAGCCTTGACGCGCAACACCTTCAGTGCATCGGTAAAGAAGAAGTTGAGTGAACTGTTTTTTTTAATTTATTTCTTACATAAGTTATTTTCTACCAACACCAGGTATTATAAGCACCCACACAGCAGCCTGGGGAGTCATTGATGCCTCGAGACGCTGGGCATACAGTGTGTTCATGATTTTATGGAGTAGAGCCAGATTTGCAGCTGTATGAATTAATATCGGAAATCGTCTAATGGAGTAAAAAAGTCAGCAATTATCGAACACTCTGTCACCAATTATCTGTTGGCTTTACTCACTTTTTTTTTTTTTAAATTTGGAGTTGATATAAATACGTTAAACGGTTTACAAACGATGTAGATGTTCTTTGTGACTTAGAATTGTGGCATATACCTGGGACTTGAGTTTACAACATTAACTTTGTATAGTAGATCAGCGGGACTATTTCCTAATGAGGACCACTATGACGTCATCATTAAGGGTCATGGTCTTAGGAGCAGAGAAAACTGGAAAATCTGGTAAGTCTATTATAGTTATTCTGTGGTGATATTTGACAATCTGAATATGTATACATATATCCCGGTCCATTCTTGTTGGGGCTAACAGAAACTGTTTTGAATTACTTTTTTTCAACTGGGTTTAACGATTTTCAGAACTACTTGAAGAAACCCTTATATTTCAGGCTTGGTCTTGCCTACATTTTAAACTAAATGAAACAAAACTAGCTTAATTAAAAAGCAATAGTAATTCAGCTGATGAAAATCTAAGAGCATTTCATTTGATGTTCAGTGGGAATTGTCGGGATGTTAAAGATACGGTGTTTGATTATCATAAACTGTAAGGTATTAAAAGATACAGCTCTTGAGATATATGATAAACAGTGCTTGATCCTGAATACACCAATATCCTATCATAAAACTTGGCGTACTCTCTGACCATCTGTTGTCAATAGGACGGACATCTGTTAAAACATCTGACTACATGACTACAACGTCAATCCTACAATTCCAGAAAAAAGATTGTATATATGTTTAGATTTGAGATCACGGAATTCAAACCACTTCAGAGTGTCTCTGTTGGGAGATGTTATTCTAGTTAAGCTGTACACAAATCCATTTAGAAAGTTGTTTAAGTACGCAAAGCGTTCAATAAGATCATTGTTTGCTATGAAATTTTAAAAGACTCGTTACGAAATCGAGACGGTTGAAAATATTTTCACACATTTCAAGGACAATCGAATCATTACGTATTGGAATTAAAAGCAGCATCGTGGTTTAACACGTGAAAAACAAAAATGGGGGAACACACAGATAAGAGGTTTCGATGAGAATTTACAGAACAACAAAAGACGATTTCACAAAGAACAGTGCATTTTATTAAATACCTCTTTTGGGAGCCTAATGCTCTTAAAATGACACTGCAAAATATCGAACGTTCATTGAGTGACTGTCTTTTTTTTTCTGGTTGAGGTCAAGCATTCAATGTTCATCAAATGAACTGAACTGGTCATGTATATTTTTTTCTTGCATAAATTTACTTGCTTTATTGCTTCAAAAATAAACGGTTTACAAGAAGTCCAAGGAGAAGTCAAGTCTCAGCATAATTCCTTTACATATGTTAATGTTCTGTTATTGTTGGGGGCCTTGTTTAAATACATCAGCAGACATCAAAGAAATATTTTGACAATTTGAGGCCAAGAGGACAATTCCTTGTTAGGCCATTTCGTGGTCTGCTGCTTTTGTCAGTGGCATACAAGACACAGGGGACGGGCTCGTACGTATAGAGTAGACTTGTTTTTCGTGACGGAGAACGAGGAAATACAACCGTAAAACAACATAGATGAGAACTTGAAAAGGATTTTAATTTAGAGAAACTAAATTCTTTCCGACTTTAAAATGAACCGACAAATAAAAAAAAATAAGCACATTTTTTGGTAGGTAATTTTGGGGTTGAATAGAAGTACACTTTTTACTGTTTACAGACAAAGGTAACCGTATGCACCAAAGAGTTCAGAAAAAAACCAGACAACTGTTCCACGGACCATTAATATAGTGCTATTTGAATTGTTATTTTACTTTGGTTGCTGAGGATAATTGCCTTTACATGAGAAGTTCTCTTGTATTGCAAAGTGTTGTTATTGCGTGCAAACGGTTTTAAAAAAAGAGATCTCACGAATGCATTAATTTCATTTCGTTCATAAAATATATACACTCATTAAACAAAAATACCCCCATTTATAGCTGACTTTTTTCTTCTTTAGCGTGTGATTTTCTGATATTGGCCCTAGGAAACAATAACACGTGCCAAATCTCTCGATTACGCAACATTTAACAAAAATAATGTATCTCATAATAAATGTAGCAGATAAGCATAGAATACATTTCTTCAGATGATAGGCTGATGTGGATGAAATGCGGAATAGTTCAATGTAGGATAAGTAAAAATAAGTCATTCAATCGTTATTGGGATCAGCAAACGTAAACAGTTCGTGAAAAAATTAATCCATTCATATATTTTTGTTTTTAAAAAAGGAACGAATTTCAGCTTCTTGCTTGATATCTCAGATTTTATCGTATAATAAAGCGGGTAATGAAACTCCAAGCAAATAATATCGGTCGAGCATTTTTTCCTATCTCAAAAAATCGTTCATTTTTTTATATCAATATGTGCCGCCATAGATGAATTGCAAAGTTTTGGACTTAGGTACTTTTGGTCATGTATATAGATGGATTACTTAAGATAAATAAAAACTTTATTTTTAAATTTCTGCATGTTGGCTCTTCAAAGAATATCTATAGGTCAATTACCTATGTGACTGTATATTTTCTTGAAAGACAAGTCTTTTGAAAGACAAAAATGTCAGTCCTCTCCCTTCAAGAGGATGATATACAGTACACAAATACACCTTTTGGTGTGCTCCTCAAGGTCTTCGTGTGTATTGAATTCTCTCACACAGAAGAGACTCGCAAAGGCCTTCTGTAGAGACGAGACAGCCATCTTAAACGTTAAGAAATTTAAATTCTCTTACATGAAATACTGGAATTAAAATTGATCAGCGGGATGCTCACTTACTTGCGCCGTGAACAACTAGACAAATAGGACGTTAGATATAGACAACCCCCACGCCACATTTAACAAAGAACGTCTTCCCTCGACTTTAATTAAAACAATATTTGTCACCGAAGTGTAATCCTAGGGTTTCACGACATTGGCCTCTTAAATCTTCTGTTTCACGACACAGTATGCATACAAGGGGGATGTTTGCTCTAAATATTTCTGTAAAGAGGGCCTCTTATGGTATTAACTATCCCCTCTGACACACATATAATAAAAATCGTATGAAGCTGAGAAAATAAAATTAAACATATAAAACATCAAAGCTTGTGTTTTATTATCGGTTCACTGTAAAAGTCAAGACGACCTATTAATTTTAGTGATAGGAATGTATTCCAAAAAGACGAAAAAGAGGAGGGGCATATAGCTGAAACTTAAGTCATATTTTGATGTGATGAAAAATTCATTACTTTTCGAATCATTGACGTATTTTTCTTTATTTTTCAGCTGTTACCGTAAGATTCTTAACCAAAAGATTTATAGGCGAATACAACTCCAATATAGGTAAGAAATACAGAAAAAAGTCATCATTTTCTTTTGAATTCTTCAGGACGAATCATAACATTGTCAATTGTTTATAAATTTTCTGATTTAAAGACTCAATGCTAAAGTTCATTTTTTTTTTAATTTCAGATTTGTTATATAAGTCGTGCATCAAGCAAGAAGATTACTTGACAGACATTGAAATCTTAGACACCAGTAGCAGAAAGGTAATTTTCGTAATTAATCATCAAATTAACAAATCGTTTTTATTATTACTCATCAACAAATTAACATTGCAAGCGATAACGATGTTTTGTTATTGAATGCGTACTTTCGCAGATGTTTGACGCAAGAGAAAAAACTAACTTTTGTGATGTCATGCAAAGAAATACTATAGTAAAGGAAAACACACATGAACTATCTTTAAAACATGAATGGAGATTACACAGCTTTAGGGAAAAGTATCAATTTTATTTCTTGTGTCTTCCATTTGTTTTGACGGAAAATTCAGAACATATTTTATAAACAAAAACTGAATATTAAGTCTTCTGTAGCAAGACACCGAATTTATTTGGATAATAAGCATACTTAAACTCATTCCATGTCAAATTTTTAACCGCTTTAGTTCGTAATCTATTAAATATGTTGGGGTTATGTTTGCTCTAGCCTGACTTCGATCTCCAGAATGTGTTAAGTTTGGACGGCTATTGTTATTGACATTATTTACATGGTGAGGGGATTACGGTGGATTATGTAGTAGACTTAATACTCTCACCGAGTTATCTGTCAAATTCGTGCTAACATTCGATTGTATGTAAGCATTAAATATGATTCCATATCGTATATGGGTCATCTAGAATGTCACGTAAACAAACTAAAATTGAGAATTTTTGTCCTATATACAAGAAAAGACCGTGCAATTTTTTTAATCTAGACATTGTTTTATTCCCTTTTCAAATAAAGGCCATTCAAAATACCAATTTATATCTTTCAATTTTCTCTTTTTTAGAATAACTCATCTTCGCCATCCACAGAGACTCAGTTGAACTGGGCCGATGCTTATGTGATTGTGTACAGCATATGTGATGCGTGTTCGTTTGAAAGAGCTAAGACTCTCTTAGAGAGCATCAACAAAGTTCGTTCTAACTCCTACATTCCCGTTCTTCTATTAGGAAACAAAACAGACCTCGAACACAGAAGAGCTGTTGGTGTTGAGGACGGCCACCAGGTGGCCATTGAGTACAACTGCCAATATTACGAAGTATCCGCGGCGGAAAATTACGTCACGATCAACATTGCATTCCAAGCTTTGCTCAGAGAAGCTAAGATAAACCAACAACAGAAATCTATGTTAAAACGAAGGAGAACGTCTTTAGTGAATGTATCAAAGAAACTTGGTGCCATGTTCAGTGGGAAGAAAGACTGTGATTTTGATAAAAGAAGGACTTCCGTCGATACGAATTCTCCGCTCAAGCTCACGTGAAACAAATTTGGCTTTCATCCTCAAAGAAAGCGTCTGATGATGGACAGAATGTCTGCCCATTTGTATGCCTTAAAATATAGATCTAACGTGCGAACATTAAAAATAAAAGGGTATACAACTCAATTTCTACATTCAATTAGCAGACATGTGGCACGAAATTATTGCTTGTTTTGAGAAAAAAAGACCTCTTCTTTGTTGAAGATACGAAGATAGTTTAAGTCACATGACTTTATAATGCTCCCTGTGATGTACTAACGAGAGAAATGATCAAATCATTGCTCACTTAAAGAACGCCTGTCAGTTATAGAAGTGGAGACTGTTTATTATTAGCATTGAATGCTTCGTTGTTTTGTTACATTTGTTTCCTTTTTATGTTATTTCGATTATCTTTGTATATCTATTAAAATAAACAATGTGATTTCCTACAACTCTGCTCTCCATTTTCTTGTTCTATCTTCAAAATACAGAATGTGTAAACGTAAATAAATTAGTTTTATCAAACATGCCCTTTCTTTGGATAGACCTGTGTCAACAACTTGGTGAAGGTTGGTATAAAAAAGAATATTGATTTTGGCAGAGGGTTTTAGGTTTCCGTATTGACATATTTACACGCTTTGACAACCCGTTACTCAAGTTGACATGGTGTAGATTGGAAACCTTACAATGTATACACTTATCATGCATCTAGTGCATTTGGTTTGCAAACATGTCACAAAAAAAACTGGTAAAAGGATAAGACATATGCATTAACCATTATCCATTATAACCCAAATACGTTATGGATAAGGACTCATAAACTGTCAAAACTTAATTAAGCTGGAAATTTCTGCTCTCTCTTGTATTGGCTCCTTCAACTGCCCAGTATGCAATATTCATTGATAGCTTTTAACAAAATACACATTTACATGCTTTTTTGGAACATTCATCTTATTCTGAAGTCACGATATTCCCCTTGTTTTGTTTTCCCCCAAATGATGTTTCCTGGGATTACATATGTATTCGCTCTTCACCTAAATCTGCTCCTGAAACCGGGTTACGCAACCATTTTAGTTTCTAAATTTGGAAAGTACTTAAAACTTCCGTTTGAAATATTGTAATCTTAATGCATTTAATGGATCTATCAGAGTCGAGACCGGCCACAATGCTATTGAGGCAAACAAATCACACCGATTCTCGTTGTAAATCAAATACTTATTACATAAGAAGGCATAAGAAAATTTTTATTCGTTATATAGATTTTGGCCTTTTAACCCTCTTAAAGGTCTTTTAAAAGGTCTTGCACTTACTCTTTAATTAACAAGATTTGTGAAAATAAAATAAAGTCCAAGGTTTTGCCTTGGTTCGTGTAATTACATATTGCTTGAAAAAAGAAACATGCTTGTATGTACAGCATAAAGGAGAAGTTGGGCGCTGGTTCGTCTTCATAAAACAAATGATGACCTCTGAGACATGCACTTGGTAGTTTCCAATAGTTGTACGTGTGGGACGCACTTTCCATTCTTGTCTTTGATAGCTTCACAGTATTCATTTAACAAACATTAATACGTAGGAACATATGCTAAAATGGATGAGAAAGTCAGACATATGGACAGATACATGTATAGTATATTCATGGTTTTACGAATGAGATATGAAAAAATATACAAATGATCGTGTTTTCCTTTTAAAGCCTTTTATCCCCAAAATCCAAGTCAAAATCTTTTTTTTTTTTTTCCAAGATTTGCAATGTCTGAATTTGAATAGAGAATTTGCAACACTATTTTTCTGAGATTTATGACTTCATTAGCCAAATTCGAGAAATCAATTTTCTCTCAATGCCAAGAAATAACAGGAAACCAGTGCAATATCGTTTAATTCTTTGCAGCCTTATAACATGTATAAAACAAATTTCAATGAAGATTAACCAAGATATAGTTATCTTTGTATGTTGATAGGTGAAGTGTAATACTTTGAAAATTTGATAGTTCAATCGCGCTGCGCCCACAACACTTTCCCTGCAGGACGCGCCTCTCCAGTATATGACTTGTAGGAACGATCTGACTTTCACAGCTTAAATCACCGAGAAAAGTGCATGAAAGACTGTTGGAAATCTTCCTCTTCCATCTCCACTGAGACCTTGTCATGATCAGGAAGTTTAATTAATTAGGTTATTAATTAAGAAATTAATTGTCTCTGTCTGTTGATATGCATTTTTGTATTGTGCATCTGAGGAGCACAGAATGATACAAGAGAGTTGCCAAGAAACATGACTCGACCATCATACAACCCATTGTAGTGATACATTTAAAAAAAGCCACAAATTATATAGAAAAAGTTGAAAAAAAAACTTTAGATTCAGATCCTGAGAACTTACCGTGAAAAGGTTGACTCCATTTTTGTAACTGTAAATTGAAAAAAATATTCAAAGTTTTTAGCTCACCTGAGCCGAAGGCTCAAGTGAGCTTTTCTGATCACACCCCTTGTAGTGATCAAGAACCACTGAGCCTATTTTGACCAAACTTTAAAAAGCATCCTTGAGTAAAGGGGAATTTAAATTGTTAAAAAAAAGCCAAGAAAACAAAAAATTATAAAAAATAGCTGAAAAAAGTTGTAAAAAAAAAACTTGGGGCCACAATGGGGAATCAAAGTTTTACATAGAAATATATAGGAACAATAAGGTCTCAATAAGGTCTCAAAGGAAATATATAGAAAAAATCTTTTAAAAATCTTCTCCTCAAGACCCACTGAAAAGGAAACTTATGTGGAAGCTTCCTGGGATAGTGTAGATTTCAAATTGTTCAAATCATGACCCCTGGGGGTAAGCCTAAAGGTGTCACAATATGTATTACAAGGGGGTGAAAGAAAATGGGCAACAGGTGAGCGATGTGGCCCATGGGTCTCTTGTTCAATTGATAATTTTATTTTTCTGGCTTGCCTCTCCTTACGATACTATTGCCTATATACCTGAATCTTAATTACTTGCATTGTAGACTAAATAAAACAAACGAGTCAAAAATCCTTTACCTTGAAACAAGTTCATTTTAATAAGCCATTTTTGTTAAAGTAAATTTGTAATTTTGCTAACAATAAAAAAAATCCCACAATATGAAGGCTTCTTTCCCATAAATTTTTACAAATGGGTTACAGCAACCTCTCCTACGTTTGCATTGCAGTAAATTAAAAGCAGTATAAACTTGCACCAATTTAGTTCTATCTTTTTTCCCTATAATTTTTATCGCCCTACTCTGAAAATAGAGAATACAAATCCTACTTTTTGTTTTTATAGTTCATGATTTCCAAAGCTAAAGTCGAGCACGCCACTTCTCCTCACTGCCAAACGAAAATTAGAGCAAATTTAACTAATTTCAATGAATATTAACCAATATATAGCTATCTGTTGATATTGATAAGTGAATCCTTGAGAACCTGACATAGAGCGATCACACCCTCAACACTTTCTCTGCATGACCTGTGTCTCCTGCAAGGGGAGTTGATGGCTTCGGCTTGGAATAATACACTGATTAAGGACTTCCACAGATTTAGAAATCATTCTCTTCCTCTTCCCCTGTGTCCTTGATGTATTAATTATCAATTAATAATTTAGTAATTAATCAGTTCCTGGCTGTTGTACACTATACTATGCAAGGGTTTAGTTTTGCGAAGGAGCGCTGAATGATATTAACAGAGTTGCCAAGAAACATGACTCTGGAATCACCCCCACTGCTTTACTGTAGGTTCATGTTTACACAGTAAGTGCATTTCACTTTTTTAGATATCAATGTTTTTAGCAAAAGCAAAAAGCAGTTGAAATAAAAAAAAAATCCACGATGACATAGTGATTCTTGTTACCTGATATAAACATAAGACGAATTCAAATATTTTTAATTGCATTTGTTTACCATTGTAAATTAAATAACATAACAATAGAAAGACCTGCATAATTTTGCATTATTTCAGAGATGATCTCTTCTAGATTTGTTACGTCTTCTCGATTCTAAAAAAATATATATCCCGATTTTTATTCAGTTTATGTCTTCCTTAACTAAAGTCGAGCAATAAACTTTCTCTAAACGCCAGAAAATAACAGGGAATTGGGTCAAAATTATTTTTTGAAACTTTAACGAATTTCAACGAAGATTAACCAAGATATCGATAAATTTAATAGCACGATCACATCATCTACACTTTCCCCGCAGGACCGACCTATCCTGCACATGGATTTGATAGTCACTGGTGGGTATGATAAGACTTCCAAAAAATTACATATAGTCACGAGTGACAGACTGTTGGAATCATCTTGATAGTGGCGCGGACCAATGTTCGTTGATTTCATGGATTACTATTATCCATGAATTTACATCCCTTCTAACAATGGTTTTGTCAAAGTATTTATTCATTGAATCGTTTAGATACATGTACATACGAGTTATCCTCCCAAAACTCCCAAAATTTTGCTTTACCACTAACATTGGCCCCCACGAATTATAAAGATTTCCACGGTCTTGAATTTGAATCTCTGCCACGACTGACCTAAGTCCATGAAAAAGGTACATGTATAGCAACTGTTCCTTCTCCATGCGCTCAGCACTTTGAAGTGAAAATTGCAGGTCCTTTGGATGAGACCTTGAAAACTGAGGCCCCATGTCACGGAAAGACAAAGATCCCTCACTGCTTAATGACCCTGAGTGCCGAGTAATGGTCAAACTTTCATCGGTATATGATAACGTCTCTTTAAGTGGAAAAATTCTGAATGGGACGTAAAACAACAATTAATCAATCAATCAATCAATCAATCAATCAATCAATCAATCAATCATAGGCCATCTTTATAATAATGTTTAATTGCCCTTTACCAGTTTAGGGTAAAACTATTGGTTCGGTAGGTAGGTGGAAAAAAAATCATGTCCTGGAATGTATCAAATATGTTGAGTCGAGCCATTTTAGTCAGTCTGTCGGGAGAGGACGACCAAACAGTTTTTTAAAATGGTTTTATCCAATATCCTTTTTCCTAAGTAGCATAAATATGTGAAAAATAGTATCTTTGCACCTATATTTTGGCAAACGAGCGCAGAACGATAATTAAGGAGTGGACAAGATCGACACACCACTCTGGAATCGCCATTATGCAATGGATAAGTGTACTTCTCTTTTAAGGCGTAGATATTTTTGATACGAAGATGAATGATAGCATAGAGAATATGGAAAGAAGTACACCGTAAAAGAAGGATTACAATGTACCATGTCTCAATGGACATATATGTATATATATACTTTTTATTCTACAAAAAAAAAAAAATATGCCAAGAAAATTTAAGGTTGTGAATCCCCAATCTAGTGAAAGAAATTTTAACCAAAATGTCAGTAAATGTTGGTGTTGATCAGTCAATTATAATTAATAAAATTGATAATTCAATCAAGTCTCCTGTAGGGTCCACCGCTCCCACACAAG